TGTCTGAGGATTTAACTTGAAGTAATTTGGTGGATGATAATCAACCAACAGTGAAATCCAGGATATTCGTTTCGTCTCATTTGGAACTCGTCATCTGGATATGACTGCATTCCTTATGAGAGCACTTCGGTTTAATCAATCAACCGGAAAATCCATTATTGAAAACAAAACACGTAGTTCAGTGAAAAGTCTCTTTTCGGCGAGTTCATTTTCACAGCTGTACAGTCGCAAATATATATGGTTGTTTTGTATGTGTGTACATTAAGTTTGTCAAACAAAAATACAATTGGTTAATGAAATTGGGGTAGTAACAAATGTAATGAGTTAATGCAATGAGTTGTTAAAAAAGAAGTTATGTAATAATATGAATAGTTTGGTGATTGAGTTTTACACTCAATGTGTGTATCCTGAGTAAAACTCAATCATCAAACTATTCATATTATTACATAACTTCTCTTTTAACAACTGTTTACGACAACTCATCACATTTGTTACAACCCCAATTTCATTAACACTTAATTCTCTTGACTGATTTTGTATTACGTAACTCCAACCACCAATCTTCACCTGTTTAGTTAAAATAACCATAACCAATTGTATTTTTGTTTAACAGACTTAATGTACACACATACAAAACAACCATATATATTTGCGATTGTACAGCTATGAAAATGAATTCGCCGAAAATCGACTCTTCGCTGGACTACGTGTTTTGTTTTCACTAATGCCTGGATGGGGATTATCTATGAAAAGTCCATTAAGTGAATTAAATAATAACTGACAAACGTTGCACAAGAGGTGGCCCAAGTAGTCCAGTGGATAACACATTGGAGTTTGAAACGACAGGTGCCAGGTTCCAGGCTCATTGAGAACACTACCAGTCACTGGGGCATGCAGCCATAAATAGGGTGACATGTGTATCCTGAATTTCACTGGTGGCCACAATCCACCAAATTATCTTAACAATTTGTTGATAGAAAATTAGTCTACTTATAAGTAGTATGATTTGATTGAAAAAATAATCAGTGAGAGTTATTATTTTAGACTGTCAATGTATATACATAAATCAATCTTCTCTGTTTGTTAAAAGACATTAATATTCCTACTATTAGACACAGTGATATATACACATACAAGATAACACCAGTTTGTACATACTTCTCTTCTAATTTTTAGCAATGAATACTAACTAGATCAGACTATAGATAAGCAATAATAATAGCTTTGCATTAAAAACTGGTATAGGAATTTCCACTAGGATGATAATTTGCTAAAAATTATTTCTCCTTCTTTTTTCTCAATAAAACACTTTAATTCATACTTTAACTATGTAATAACATCGTTTATATACAGACCGATGAAACAGAAAGTATACCAAATGGGATACAAAATAGGCAGAAAGGATGATTTGAACTTAATTGAATACATACATAACAGACAGGATAGACTATGTAGAAACTTTGAAAAGACGCGCGCGCACACACACACGCATACACACACAGATGCATACAAACAAACAGTCACTCAGTTGGATACAATTTAAACTATGTAACTTTTATCCTTCTCCTCCTCATTACTGCTATTATGGCTACTTTTTTTTCCAAGAATATTGTCAATATTTTGTCTGATTACTGAAGAAACTAATAAGGAGGACTGTTTAAATAAAATTTAGGCTAGTCTAATGCAAAGATGGGTAGAGAGAAAGAAAGAAAAGGAGAGAGAGAGTTGGAGTGGGAAAGAAAGACACAGAAAGGCAAAGACAGAGAGATACGTTGAAGGAATGAGACAGTAGATTAGAATAAGGTCTAATTTATATAAGGACAGTTTTGTTCATTATTATAAAAGATTTTGTCTATCCCAATAAATGAAAAACGTAACGATATTATTTTTATTGCGATTTCGTTATTTAGTGCTAATGGCTTTATCAAAGTATTCATTATTAAACCAGAATTCACAAAGTTTCATATTTTATACTACGTGAAATTATACAAAAGTTTAATATATAATATTCCTGTGTGATATGCATATATGTTTTTGCAATGAACTAGTTAGTCCTCTGTGATTCTACCTTCAATATATGTTTCAAATTAAAGTTGACTTCTACTTTAAGTTATTTTGTACCTCTCGTTTATTGATTTGTATCTGACTGAAATCCTTAGCTTTTGCAGACGTATCGGTTCCTAGTACAGACTCTTCGACGATGTCCAAAGATTAACATGATGTTATTTATGGTTGGTGGTGACTAGCAGTGAAATCCACATGTCAACAGACACCGAGTATTTCCGTCCAGTACAATCGATCAAAGAGAAATGCGAATTATAAGTGATATCTGTTGTAAAAGAGGTGGTTGTCATGGTTGAGTGGCCTAGTGGGAAACGCTTTGACATTTGAAACGATAGATGATTGGGTTTGAGTCTCAGTAGAATCATGATCACTGACTGCAGGTTGTTCCATCTGATGAGTCCCGAATAGGACAAAGTGCGAATCCTGTATCCTTCTGCTAGTCACTAACATCCAAGTAGCAAAAGTTAACATTGTTTACTTTGTTTTATGCTTTAAACCTGTAAACCTATTTTGAGTTATTATTCATGGCTCAAGTTTTTTTGTAGTAAACAATCAAAGGAGAAATTAAACTTTAGGCAATGAAAAGACACGAACGCACCAATGACCGCGGAATGCATATTCAGTAGGTTAGTGAAACCAAGTAAACGACATTATATTCATGAGAAAAAATCTGTGTAATGACGTGTCATGACATTAACTGAATAGAATATCAGGTAAATTTTAGGTCAGATTTAGGAAAGATTAACATTAGGTTAAGGAAATATCAGGGTAAGAAAACTAAATTTACCTTTCAGCACTATGACTGTTTTCAAAGTCACTGATGCGTTCGCAACTATTCAGTGCTCAAAGTTTAAGTTCACTGAATTAACTAGACGATAGAATCAGGAGAATGACAACGTATTTACAGTTAGTTGTATAATGGAGAAGATTTGTAGCTCAGATGAATGATTTTGATGTAGTTGTGTTCTCTCAGCTAAAGGAGTTTATTTACGAAGCTCTCATTACCCTACTAGGCAACATCTTCAGCGCGTACTTCAATTTGAAGTGAGTTTTTAAATTTCTGCACGAGTTCATTAGTCATTTCTCTTGGTGACCTTGAATCTGACTAGTTGCTTTGGTCTGTTTTCACGCCCTCTTAGTCTTCGCATCCATGAACAATAACTAGCTGTCAAAAGACATCATACTCACTCTCTCATATTGTTGCATACAGAAAGCCACGGACATCAATTCGATTGGGACAACGTTCAAATATTACACAGAGAAAACACCAAGAACGCCATAGAATTTCTAGAAACCCGGTATTCCAGTGAATCACCAATTAACAGGCACATTAACATAAACAACATAACCAACCCATAAGAGGAAAATCTCATGCACAAAATGTCAAACTTCAAGTCAAGGAAACAGTCAGTACGAATATAAGTAGACTAGAGAGTGTGAAAACAGACAAAAGTAACCAGTTAGGTTCAAGGTCACCAAGACAAATGACTAATAAACTCATGGAGAAATTTAAAAGCTCAATTCAAATTGAAGTATGCGCTGAAGATATTGCCTAGTAGGATAATGAAAGCTTCGTAAATAAACCATACAGCTCAGAAAACACAACTATATCAAAAAGTTAGTTGTATGCCATGATCGAGATCTTCATTTCACTCTCAATCATAACGCACTATATGCACAACAGTCCACCAACTGAGGACAATGTCAGACAGTCTTCGTAGGGATTCTACCCGTATAAGACTCATTATGCATGGAACTGAATGTAAAAAAATTGAAATCTTTACTCCTTATCTAAACTGATCCACAATGGAAAACTCAGCGAGGCGTTCGGAGTAAACACAGGAGTCAGACAAGGGTGCTGGCTTACTATCACCAATGGTATTCCTAATTGTGGTGGACTGACTGGATTATGCGTCAGACAGTGGGAAACAAGAAGACAGGAATATCCTGGACCAACGTGAAGAACCTAGAAGACCTGGATTTCGCGCGTGGATGATTTATACTTGATGTCACACAAAATCGAAGACTTACAAGCGAAAACCGACAAACTGGTCGAAGAAGCAGTCGGTGAAGACAGGACTCCAAGTGAACATAGACAAGACACAGGTTATAAAAATAACCGACCAACAACAACAACATCCAGCGCCAATCACCATCAACGGAAGGGATTTGAAACAGGTTACTTCATTCACTCACTGATCTAGGGAGCATTGTCTCAAACACAGACAGTCGGAACGGACGAGGATGTCAAATCGAGCGAGAATCGGGAAGGCGAGAAACAAATTCATCAACCAACTGAAACCAGTCTGGAAATCTTCGCCACTCTGCATCAACAACAAAATTCGGTCAGTTCTTCTATACGGATCAGAAACTTGGCGGGGGGGTCACAAAGAATATTTCCAACAGCCTGTTGAAGAGGCTACCTTTATCAACAACTGTCTTCGCTGGCTCTATACCGAAGATCAGATGGCCGGGCCGGAAAGAATCACCAACAAGAAACTATGCACACAAACAAACAAAACAAGAACCAATCGCCAACGAACAAATATGCAGGAGAAAGTGGAGATGGATTGGACACTCACTGATGAGACCGCTGGGTGACATCGCGCGCGCGCCAAGCTCTCGAGTGGAACCCGAAAGGGAAGCGGCGTGTGGGACGTCAGTGCAAGGGTGACATGGAGGAGATCGTGTGAAGAGGAGTTGAAAGAATATGGATTAACATGGATGCAGGCGGAAAGTATAGCAGAAGAGAGAAGAAAATGGAGACGTGCAGTTGAAGCCCTATGTTCCACTAGAAACCCAAGGGGAACAATAATAATAATACTGACGTATAAAGTAATAATTTAGAAATAATTCAAAATAATAATAATATTGTAATCATGAATAACAAAATTTCAGAAAGAAGAAATATGAATATTTTATGCCTTTTGACTAACTTTCGTATTCGAAGTAGAATTGATGGAGTGCAAACATATAATTGTTTAAGCCATTCTTGAATTGTTCTACGAAGATGATCAATATTTGATCCACAAGTTTTAGCTGCTTTCTCTAATTCAATAACATCACGTTCATAGATTTTCATAATTCGTCGGCGTTGAACTTCAAAATCATAACTTGATTGTCCTTTACCCATTGGAAATCTGATTGTACATATATACATGTCCCATGGGGCAAGAATATTTAAAAAGATGTAAATTTGATTTCTACTTTAAGGTTTAACGTATGAAACAAAAAAAACTTCTTCAAGTTGAGAGACTTAATTCGATCACCATTCGGCTAATTGGATCAGAATCCAATAGGCCACAAATTCTAACTTCTGTCAATTAGCGATATATAGCGCGACAGTCGGCCAACGTTATCAGGGAGTATTTCTCCTCACGCCCGACTTGGTGAACGCCACTGGTCACTAGTGAGCATCAGATTAATTTTCAGAAGTTAATTTGTAAGGATTTGATCTGTTTCACGTTTTATCACGGAGGTAGAGAACCACTGGAAACCAAGGAGTACTGGCCCACGTTGCTGAATGGTCAACGAGTTTGACCTCGGAAACTGAAGATCCTTGGGTTCAATCCACTTTTGGGGTCGTGGGTGCATACTACCGAAGAGTACCAAACTTGGGCGAAGTAGGTGTCCAATACTCCCTAGTTTCCTATACTTCTCTAACAGACATCAATCTGTGATCGAACTTGAAACAGTCAGATCCCTACAAACTAACTATTGGAATGATTTTTTTTAATAATAACATCACATCCTCTATATCGTTTACTGTAATCAATCCATTTTCATGGTGATAACTTTCTCCAAGTTACTTATTTACTAGTGATAGGGGCTGTAAGTAGAATCCAGCACACATGTTCCGTCATATTTGGAACTCATTATCTGGATGTACTTATATTCGCAATTGTTGAAATCCAAACCCCTTAATTCGGCCAGTTGTACAAATGAAAGTAGACACTTTCAGACTACTTTCTTCTGTTACATATATATATATATATATATATATGTAAACCCTTTACTAAATATATTTTAAAAAAACTAAATAATTAAAATTTTCTAAATTGGGAATATTGGTGAATCTGATGGCCTATGTACGTCGGCGGTTCGGCGGCAGAATACTCATCAACTATGCACATTGTCTAAGGTTCAGTCCCCGTCCAGCCCAATGAAGAGAGAAAGTTGGGATTGAGGCTAACAATTCCTCCCCGTAAAAAACACTACTACTACTGAAACTTCAAAGCTCAAGCTTGAAGCCATGTATTCCACTCGAAAAACAAAGGAATGTTGTGATTTCTCTACTGCTATCCTTCTGCAATGACCTCAAAAGAACATATTATACTTAGTTATTTATTCATAAATAAGATTTAACTGAAGGGAGGTCTCATGTCTTTATATATTTGCATAGTGATACCTGTCAGTTAAAAGCACTGAGACTATGTTATTTGGTTGTTGGTAACTAGTAACAGAATCCTAAATCGGGACTCATCGCCTACAAGTGCCTTCATCCTTAGTGAGTGGACGTGATCCCACTCGTCAGCTAGATTCCACTTCTAGCTATTATCAACCAAACAACATTATTTTATTTATTATTATTTTATTATTGCTCCCTTGGGTTCCTAGTGGAACATAGGGCTCCAACTGCACGTCTTCACTTGCTTCTGTCTTCTGCTGTACTTTTCACCTGCATCCATATTAGTCCATACTGTTTCAACTCCTCTTCACACGATCTCCTCCATGTCACCCTTGCACTGACGTCCCACTCGCCGCTTTCCTTCTGGTTCCAATCGAGCAGTGACCTGACGCGCGCGCGATTTCACTCAGCGGCCTCGTCAGTGAGTGTCCAATCCATCTCCACTTTCTCCTGCATATTTGTTCGTTGGCGATTGGTTCTTGTTTTGTTTGTTTGTGTGCATAGTTTCTTGTTGGTGATTCTTTCCGGCCCGGCCATCTGATCTTCGGTATAGAGCCAGCGAAGAGAGTTGTTGATAAAGGTCTACAACAGGCTGTTGGAAATATTATTGATATAAGAATAAAACTTGTGCACTGTGATAGAGTGTAATTCCATTATGGGTAAATTTTGTTTTGATAAAGTCTCACAGTGTTATACAGTAATGTTTACTGATGACGTTTCGAGCACAATTTATTGCTCATAATCATATCAAGGTAATCACACGACTTCCTAAATTCATTTATATAGTTCCATTGTTTTTCTCTTGATTTTCACTTGATTTGATTGGTAATAGTATTTTCCATATTTCAGGTATGAGTGACGAGTCATTCCTATTGCATGTGTTGGGTGTAGACTCGATGAACAAGGATTCAGTAATCAACCTCTCTCTCCACCTACCTAGATTACTTTTTAGAATTTTAACCCTCTCCCACTGATAGGATCCCACACATTTTGGTATTGACTGCTAATTTTGTATATATGGTATATTATCATTCTCACGCATTTTGGTAGTGACTGTTTAATCTTGTATAATGGTATATTATCATTCTCACACATTTTGGTAGTGACTGCTAATTTTGTATATATGGTATATTATCATTCCCACACATTTTGTTACTGACTGTCAACCTCGCACATATGGTATATTATCATCTCTTACGCACTTTGTTATTGGCTATTAAGATAAATTATTTCAAATGCTGTTAGCTGTCCATATTGTTGTAAAATGTATAAATACCATGGCTTTCTTTATCGTTGTTGCACTTCAATACACAGTCACAGTCCAGCCTTTGTCTTTTGATATTTGCGTGCTTTACTAAGTTGGAAGGTACGACGAGCAGATAGACAGATTAGTTCAGGCGCAGACAGAATAAGGTGAAAACGTCTTCATTCAATCCCTACAGTTAAAACAAATTGGCGACGGGGATTTACTTTAATTCATCGCAGTTATAGCACGCAACGACGACAGTTTTTATTCTGTTCAGCGCAACCATATAACATTTTTATGCTCTGACAATCTGACTACCCCTGACCTACTAGTTTGACCTATGTAGTTGACCTCACAGTCATTGCATGGTATTTTGTAAATAATATTATTTTGTCTAATTGGGTCAACTGGGTCCTTTAACCTACAGAGCTAGTCCCTGGGTGAGTTTGTAGGTTTAAATGCCACCCTAATTCCTATTTTATTCAGAATCCTACGTAGTGTCTCAGATGTCCCCTCTTTATATGGTATAACTGTGGATGACTTATATTCTTTCTTATTTATGTTATTATTACTAGTTTCACAATTATTTTTATTTTGTTTTTGGCCTTTAGTGATCTTCCTAATGAATTTTATAGGATAGTTATTCAACACCAACGCTTCTTCTATCTGTTTTAATTCATCATTTAGTTCGTTTTTTGTGCTACTTAGTGCCACTGCTCGGTTTGTTAAACATTTAACTAAGACTGCCTTAACAGTTAAAGGATGAGACGAATTAAAGTCTAAATATCCATTAGAATGCGTTGGTTTTCTATAAACACTAGTGTGTAGTTTGCCTTCTTCTATTCTTTTTATCTTACAATCTAACATAGCTAATTCTCCTTGTTCATTTTCTGATTCAAATGTGAATTTTACTCCCTCAACTTGTGAGTTTATGTGTGTCAAGAAGCTAGAGATGTGTTCTGTTTTTAACACTGTGAAAGTGTCATCCACATATCTCCACCATATTTTCGGAGTAGGGTTAAATGTATTGAGGGCACTATTTTCCTTTAACTGTTAAGGCAGGCTTAGTTAAATGTTTAACAAACCGAGCAGTGGCACTAAGTAGCACAAAAAACGATCTAAATGATGAATTAAAACAGATAGAAGAAGCGTTGGTGTTGAATAGGCCAAAAACAAAATAAAAATAATTGTGAAACTAGTAATAATAACATAAATAAGAAAGAATATAAGTCATCCACAGTTATACCATATAAAGAGGGGACATCTGAGACACTACGTAGGATTCTGAATAAAATAGGAATTAGGGTGGCATTTAAACCTACAAACTCACCCAGGGACTAGCTCTGTAGGTTAAAGGACCCAGTTGACCCAATTAGACAAAATAATATTATTTACAAAATACCATGCAATGACTGTGAGGTCAACTACATAGGTCAAACTAGTAGGTCAGGGGTAGTCAGATTGTCAGAGCATAAAAATTTAGCTAAGGTAAGAATGGTTGACCCCGAGAAGATAAATAATTTAGAGAAAAGCTCAGCAATTGCAATGCATGCGCTAACACACAACCACACAATAGGGTGGGAGAGGGTTAAAATTCTAAAAAGTAATCTAGGTAGGTGGAGAGAGAGGTTGATTACTGAATCCTTGTTCATCGAGTCTACACCCAACACATGCAATAGGAATGACTCGTCACTCATACCTGAAATATGGAAAATACTATTACCAATCAAATCAAGTGAAAATCAAGAGAAAAACAATGGAACTATATAAATGAATTTAGGAAGTCGTGTGATTACCTTGATATGATTATGAGCAATAAATTGTGCTCGAAACGTCATCAGTAAACATTACTGTATAACACTGTGAGACTTTATCAAAACAAAATTTACCCATGTTGGAAATATTCTTTATGACCCCCCCCGCCAAGTTTCTGATCCGTATAGAAGAACTGATTGACTTTACGTTTGTATTGAAAGTCTGACTGAATTTTGTTGTTGATGCAGAGTGGCGAAGATTTCCAGACTGGTTTCAGGGTTGATGAATTTGTTTCTCGCCTTCCCGATTCTCGCTCGATTTGACATCCTCGTCCGTTCCGACTGTCTGTGGTTGAGACAATGCTCCCTAGATAGTGAGTGAATGAAGTAACCTCTTTCAAATCCCTTCCGTTGATGGTGATTAGCGCTGGATGTTGTTGTTGTTGGTTGGTTATTTTCATAACCTCCGTCTTGTCTATGTTCACTTGGAGTCCTGTCTTCACCGGCTGCTTCTTCGACCAGTTTGTCGGTTTTCGCTTGTAAGTCTTCGATTTTGTGTGACATCAAACATAAATCATCCACGCGCGAAATCCAGGTCTTCTAGGTTCTTCACGTCGGTCCAGGATATTCCTGTCTTCTCGTTTCCCACTGTCTGACGCATAATCCAGTCAGTCCACCACAATTAGGAATATCATTGGTGATAGTAAGCACCCTTGTCTGACTCCTGTGTTTACTCCAAACGCCTCGCTGAGTCTTCCGTTGTGGATCACTTGACATGTGCCGTTGTCGTACAGCTGTTGAATAAGGTTGATGAATATTTGGGGTACGCCATAGTACTCGAGTAATTTCCAAATTACTTCACGATCAACGCTGTCGAAGGCCTTCTCAAAGTCTATAAAGTTGAGGTAGAGGTTTGATTGCCATTCCATGCTTTGTTCGCTGATGATGCGTAGAGTTGCAATTTGGTCAGTACATGATTTGCCTTTCCTGAATCCAGCTTGTTCTGGTCGGAGTTCTGTCTCCAGTGCGTCCTTTAATCTCTCCAGGATGATGCGACTCAGGATTTTACTTGGCGTCGATAGGAGCATGATTCCTCGCCAGTTCTTGCAGAGTGAGCCTAAGTCGCCCTTCTTTGGTAGTTTCACGAGGTAACCTTTCCTCCAGTCAGTAGGCACCTTTCCCTCCTTCCAGACCTTTTGCAATAATGGAGTCAGCATGTCTGCTGTTCTCTCTGGGTCCGCTTTCAGTGCTTCAGGGGGTATTCCATCTGGTCCGGCTGTTTTTCCAGCTTTCAGAAGTTTGATTGCGTTCAAGACTTCAGCTCTCGTTGGAGGATTGGTGTCAACTTGCAGTTGTGTGCGCGCTGTTGTTGGTATTTCTGGACGGGTTGCAGGTGATGGTCGGTTCAAGAGTCCTTTGAAGTGATCCGCCCATTGTTTAATCTGTTTTTCTTCCTTGGTAATGGGCTTCCCTTGGCTGTCTTTTATAGGTTTCGCTTGTGTTGGTCTCTTCCCGGATAGAGATTTGGTTATCTGATATAGTGTCCTCAGGTCCCTTTTGCCTGCTGCCTTTTCAGCTTCAGTAGCTAGATTGTCGTAGAATCGTCTTTTGTCCTTCCTAGCACTTTTCTTCACTTCTTTGTCCAATGCTTTGTAAGTTGAGCTCATCGTCTCCTTCTCCTGTCCGTCCTTGCATTGAATCATTTTCTCTTTCACCATTCTCCTCTCTTCTATTAATTTCCAAGTGTCCGTTGAGAGCCATTCCTTGTCTTGTCTCTTCTTTCTTCCTAGAACCGTTGAACACGTTTCGTTGAGAATCGCCTTCAGAGACTTCCAATGTTCTTCCACGCATGATTCTTCAGTGCTGTCGCGTAGTGTTTCCTGCTTTGCTCTGACAGTTGCAGTGAAGGTGTCTTTTGTGGTTGTGTCCTTCAGTAATTGAGTGTTGAACTTGCATTGTGGCCTATCCCCAGCTATCCTCGAGGCTTTTAGTTTCACCTTGAAAGTCCCTTCTACTAGATAGTGGTCTGAATTTTAATTTAATTTAATTTTAGATTTTACCATCGATCGATTGAACCGAAATGCTCGGTCTCAAGTTGACATGTTGGCTTCTTGTACAGATGCTTCGATGATGTCTGGGCATATAATCAGAAGTTAGTTGATGGATGGTGACTATCGAAGGAAGCAGCTGCACAAAAAGTCGACATGTCAACCTGAGACCAAGCACTTCGGTCCAATCAATCGACGGGAAAATCTAAAATTGAATTAAATAATTAATATGACCCATTGCACAAGAGGTGGCTCTCATAGCCCAAATGGTCTAGTGGATAACGCTTTGGCGTTTGAAACTATGGGCGCTGGGTTCGAGCCTCGGTGGGTACATCATCACCCACTGTAGAATGCAGGTACATCCATATGACGAGTCCCAAATAGGACGAAATGGGCATCCTTGATTCCACTGCTAGTCACTATGATCCAATTAACTTCAAACAACATTAAGTTTATCTGCACATATTACCTCTGCTAGAAGCCAACATATCAACAGAGATCAAGTATTTTGATCCAATATATTCAATCAATAGGAAATACAAATTAACTTAAGCAAATAAGCTTTGGCAATCTTGAGAAATATCCTTTATTCTCGGAAACTCGAACAGACATTTTTTGAAACTCATGAGTACAGTTGTTATCACTGAGGTTAACACTGAAGACATTGTCTAGAAGAACAATTTAGCCTAACCAAAAAGTACAATAACACTAAAATTATCCACCTGATCTACAAATCTTCTGCATTATTCCAGCATTGTAACTGGCTCCACGCAAAAGTGTACTTGATTCACTTATCAATAACTGCTGAGTAACTAATACTAAGTGACTTAATTACAAATCCTGACAAGGTGTTTCAACCAAATCTGACAGATAGCCACCACGACGTTAGGTGACTTTACGCACGTGTTTATCTTAAATGTGATTTAAAATGTATTACCAGGATTAAAAAATATTGGTTTATATTCAGTACGGAATTGCAACATCCTGCTCTTTGAGTTGAGATATTTCATATGACAAAGAATTAAACAAGGTACTCGCCTCAAAAAATGAAGATAATGGATTCGATCTCTAGTGACGATATTTAGAAGTCCCAAGTTAGACTGAAACATCTGTCATTTACTGCCCTGTATGGTTAAGAAAAGGGTGAAAGGCTAATAAATAATTAATTATAACACCAAATATTCATGTCATGTTGAAAAGTCCCTCTTAGCATATTATCATGTCATTTTATTAGTCCCATTGAGTTCCTAGGGAAAACACACACAGATTTAGCAGTAGATCTCTGTTTCAACCTGCTGTCTGAACGCCTTTTTAGCTAACTCTACGGTCGCATGCACGCTTTTACCTTCTCATATGATGATTCCCTCCATGTCACCCTCAGATGTCTAGCTCGTTGTTTCCGATTCGGAATCCACTGGATAGTCCGATGTGTGATGCCACTCAGCGTGTGTGTAATCCATCTCCATTTACTTCTGCATATTTGTTGAGTGAAAGGTTTTTTGTCGGTTAGTGACTGACAGATTTCCTTTTTGCTTGCTCATTTTTTCTGGTTAGCCATATGATCTTCAATATGGAGCGAAAGCAGATGTTGGTAAAAGTAAGCTTTTGATGACGCGCTAAGTCTCCTAATCATATAGAAGCAATGACTTAAAATTAGTATTCAAGTTCCGGATCTTGTTCCTTATGCTTGGTGCAGAAGATTCCCACAATAATTTCAAAATTATGACTGGATATATCTCGCCTTTCCAGTCCTGGCTGGTTTTGACATCTTTATCTTTGGCACCTGTAGTTGAAACGATACTGCCTACGTAAGTGAAAGAATTGATTTCCTTTAGTTTTCTCCAGGTAATAGTGATTGGTGCTTGCTGTAACTGCTGCTGTTGGCTAGGCGGCCTGACCACCATTTGCCTTCTGTATGCTCACCTGAAGTGTTATCTTCGCTGTCTCTTCTGTCAACTTGTTGCTTTTCTCCTGTACAAAGATTTCTATCGTTTTTTGCTGTCCATACATTCAAACTACTATATTTATATCAATCAGTATTAAGTTTCGAATTACAATACATGCTATGCTCACAGTCTCTATCCTATTCATAATGTCAAACTCATTACACACAAACATCATAATATTAAAACCGTTGGATCACTAAACATAACTAGCGGTAAAATTTTAAAGTATTGCTTTTGTAGGGATTTTTGTTTGATTGGTTAGAGGATTTCACCATGAGCTGACATCAGTCACAAAGCCATTGGAAAACCAACTGGGAGTACTGCCAGACAGTTGTTTCCAACCTCCTGGTTTTGGACTCTTCAACGGTATGCACCCACCCTCAGGGTTCGAACCTAGAACCTTCTGGTTACAAGGTGAGCAAACTCGTAGACAATTAAGCCAATGGGACCCAATCCAATGGCCAGTCCATGAATTCTAACTTCTGCCAATTCATGACATAACGAGACGACTTCGCAACGTCTTTTCCGATGAGTAACTGTAGTCACTTTCAATCTGCTGCATCATACTGGTCACCGCTTCCCACTAGAACCCCAGGTAATTGCCTGAATTGATCGTGTTATGTCATGAGTTGGCAGAGGTTATAATTCATCGGCTGGCTGGCCACTGGATCGGGTCCCAGTGTCTTAATGGTCTACGAGTTAGCTCGGCTTGTAACCAGAATGTTCTGGGTTCGAACCCAGCAGTGTGGGTGCATACCGTTGAAGAGTCCCAAACTAGGATGGAGGAAACAGCTGTCTGGCAGTACTCCCTGCAAGTTTTCTAGTGGTTCTGTAACTGATGTCAGCCCATAATAAAATCCTCTAACCAATAAAATTTTAAGTTGGATTGTATATTTTACAATAAATAATTTGATGTAAATCCATGTTGTTTCAGTACAAATTAACGATTTGATAAGAAATAAATATGATAATCCAAAATTCTGACATGTAATTCAACCAATCAATAATTCATATCCATTCAAGCTTTACATAAAAATGGTACTTACATAAGATTATTTGTTATTTAGGTGTTAAATATTCAGTAAGACAGAAAAACCAAAATTTTGTTTATTTCGAAATTATTGCTCGATTTTGTTAACTGAATAAAATTTAAATATGCACAATCATACAAATACACACACATATATTGTACATATTGAACAATCACTTTATCGCTTATTTTATGTACTATTCAAGGTCACCGTGATAAAAATTCATCAGTTGATATCAACTGAATAAACCGAATAAATAAATGAAATTGTACACAATTGGAAAAATAATTTATAACTTACTGAAATATACAATGAATTTTGGATTATACAAGTCTTATAAGACAACTTGGGTAGATAGACAAAAAGTACTTATTTACTCAAACATTACAGATGTCTGCTTTTCTATTTAGTTCCTAGTGTGTGTGCGTGTGTGTGTGTATCTCTATCAGTGTGAAACAAGATACTAAAAGTGTATCGATAAAATTTTCTTGAATTCACTGAATTTAAAAAAAGAAAGGATTATGTTTCTGTTATAAACTGAAAGTTACCAACCGATTTATAAATTAGTGACAATGTTGATTCTGTCACTTACTAAACTACGTATCTAACACGAAGACAAGATCCCTTGATTACCACTGACCACTTCAAGCCACCTCATTATAAATTTATTCCAAAAGTAAGGAAATAGTGAATAATCAGTCTGAGAAGGCTATGCAAGATAAGAAGTTAAGCAGAATTATGTGTGTTGGAACTTAAATATAGCAAACATATTTTTTGTATAGCAGGTTACGAGCCAACCCAGTTTTGTTTAGGTTGGAACATGTGAAGAGAGATTAGAACCTGTTAACCGAAAGGTAATGAACTGCTGAAGAAACATCACATTGAGATAAAGCAAATATATAAGTAGGAATGGTTATTTTAATCAATCTTAAACCATACAACTAGAGTCTCCATCTTTCGATGCCGGCAAATTCGTAGATCTCAGCCATGCGTCCAATACCTATACCCGTAATCAACGACTAATCTCACATCTTGGTTTTTTTCTACTAACTGATTTATTTCTATATAAGCACAGTACAATATGGAACTGAAAAATGCACCACACACAGATATCTGACAACGCTTCAAGCCACTGAGCTACGAGACTTCCTGGAGTTGAGGTACATCAAGGGATTCAAACTTAATCCAACTTCCATCTGTTCAGCTATCACCACATTATGGGCTATACACAGCAATAATTTAAACTGGTTCTACTTCGAATAATATACTACAGAAGGCGGTTATCTGTTTACACTGCGCCAATTACAAACTTGAAGATATCATGCAATATATGACTTTGGTTTTATTACAGCATCTAAGCAATTGTGCATATGTATCCATGATTGCCAACCACGCACGTGGTCTGAGCTCGATTCCCGGTCGGCACGCTACTAAGCATCAACTAGTTTATCAGGTGATAGTAAACCAGGATAAGAGCAGAGGTTGAACGTGTGGCTGGCAACGCCACCTCTAATGAAACTTGAGGGCTTCAAATCTTATTATTTTCCAATCAGAATGCAAAGGATGAAAAAGATCTAAGGATACGTTCTATCAGTTTAAGAACAACAAATACCCAATCATCAGTCTAATTGCGATAAAACAATGAGATGTTTTAAAAACGAAAGACACTGCCGGAATTCTTAAAACATCGAAAGGATTAAAATGCATTCTTCAGAGAAAAGTTTCGACACTTTAAAATAACATTTGAATCGCTAAATTCGTATGTTAAAGCATATTACTGACGTTGATGTTAGATCTAGGAGACAGTTGGCAGGACACTCTAGAAATGAGTTTCGCATCTATTGATACTCACCAGCAAGGTATACATGTGCAACCTAGAAGGGTCAAACCTGCATCACACATTGATGCAATCGGAGACGTTAACACCAGGTGGTATTACCAATATGATATTATTAATATTAACAATAAGAAATTAACATTCCCTCATGATGTTGGGCATTAATGCATTGTGTACAGAGTTCAGCTGTACCATTTTATAGACGAAATACACCCATAGAAGCTATTCAGAAATGTATAAATTAAACATGGTCGAATAACGGATGGTTCACATGTATGATTTTCAAATCGCAAAAAACATTGATTTTTGTCATCTGAATTTCTTCAATAATACGGTATACACACTTTAATATTGTTTATCACAATGGTAAACGTAAAGTCCATGGAATAATCCCATAATACCGCCCATACTTGTATTATATACATAAAAAAGACTGAAAAAAAGCTACTCAGCAGCCATTTACATTTATAGGCATTTAACAATGAGGCAGATTTATTGTATGACAGTCGATACAATAATGCTGTCTAACAACGCCTGGTAGGTGGAACGTAACCCATATATATATAAACTTCTTTAAACGTAGACATTAGAAACCGACTGACTGACGTAGAACTTTGCACCGACGTGCAGCAATTCAAGTCGCCACACTTCACTTAGCACACAAAGAGAAAAAAGTAAGAAGAAATGCAAAACAGAGACAGTAAACAGAGATACGAGGCAAAAAGAACAGTAATATCGAAGATCCATGTAGTTTTATTGGATATTATAAGTCACAAGGAGTGGATGCATCTGCACCAGTGAACGATTTTGAGCCATATCACCAATTGTCTCCAGCCGTTGGCTTTTACCGTCCCGAGGACCCCAAACAGGAAGCCAGTCTACACTTCCCTACGTGACTAGCTTAAACTAACTATTTTGGATTTCATTGACTGATGCAATGTTTTGGTTTGACCACCACTAGCTCTTTTCCAGCCTGACCTTATATCATCTAACATTGCCCGTCGAGGAAAGCGATGGTTAGGGATGAACAACGCATATCCTAACCAACTCAGTCGATGTAACTTCAAAGCCTGATCTACTGATTTTCCCTCCTTACCTAGCACTCAACACCTAACCTCAATATTGCTCACCCTATTATACCACCTCACAAGGGAGATAGAACGCAGGCGCCTATGGTCACAAAGAGCTAGCCGGCCTTTCCACATCTTTCACTCTCAATGGCCAGGTCTCACAGCTATAAAGGAGAACGGAGCGGACTGCTGAACAGTACACCCGCCCGTTGGTCGATAGCCGGATATTACGTCTACGCCAGAGACGGCGTAAACGTGCATATGTGAAAGGAACCTTCTGTAACCGTGCTGAGATCAGAAATTGACGTCATACAAGAAACCATTTAAAAAACAAAGCACAGTAAATAGTTGTCTCGTATTAATTTGGGTCTACGTCACAATTCTACTGAACAATACGTGAAGAACCTAGAAGACCTGGATTTCGCGCGTGGATGATTTATACTTGATGTCACACAAAATCGAAGACTTACAAGCGAAAACCGACAAACTGGTCGAAGAAGCAGCCGGTGAAGACAGGACTCCAAGTGAACATAGACAAGACACAGGTTATAAAAATAACCGACCAACAACAACAACATCCAGCGCCAATCACCATCAACGGAAGGAATTTGAAACAGGTTACTTCATTCACTCACTGATCTAGGGAGCATTGTCTCAAACACAGACAGTCGGAACGGACGAGGACGTCAAGTCGAGCGAGAATCGGGAAGGCGAGAAACAAATTCATCAACCAACTGAAATCAATCTGGAAATCTTCGCCACTCTGCATCAACAACAAAATTCAGTTGGATTTTCAATACAAACATCAAGTCAGTCAGTTCTTCTATACGGATCAGAAACTTGGCGGTTGGATCACAAAGAATATTTCCAACAGCCTGTTGCAGAGGCTACCTTTATCAACAACTGTCTTCGCTGGATCTATACTGAAGATCAGATGGCCGGGCCGGAAACAATCACCAACAAGAAACTATGCACACAAACAAACAAAACAAGAACCAATCGCCAACGAACAAATATGCAAGAGAAAGTGGAGATGGATTGGACACTCACTGAGGAGACCGCTGGGTGACATCGCGCGCGCGTCAGGCCATTGCTCGAGTGAAAGCGGCGAGTGGGACGTCAGTGCAAGGGTGACATGGAGGAGATCGGGTGAAGAGGAGTTGAAACAGTATGGACTAACATGGATGCAGGTGAAAAGTACAGCAGAAAACAGAAGCAAGTGAAGACGTGCAGTTGAAGCCCTATGTTCCACTAGGAACCCAAGGGAACAATAATAATATTATAATAATAACAATTCTTATTCACTACCTCAAATCACGACAACATGACAGTTCAGTGCTTTCAGCTTTCCAATAATTCTCTAGTTACCGATTCTTGATAGAAACAACTTTCAAAATATTCATAATACCAACTTCACACCTCATCGCCCAACGATACAACGCCTTTCAACGTTAATCTTCAATTAGACTACTGCTTCCCAGTCATCTATCTCAGTTAGTCCTCACTGATGACTGACTACAAGATGAAGTTGCCTGACGTTCCACTGGGAAATCGTAACCATCAGGGTCAACCAAATTAGATGTGTAAGGGCAAATAGTCACCGATAACACCAGCTGGGGGTAGTGTTACACACATACCAGGAAGCGGCAGAAGATAGAACTGACAGGTCATTGGATTCCGTTCCATTTGCTAAATGGACAAAGAGGTTGCCTTGTAACGTGAAGGTCCCCAGGTTCGACCCCTCCCATTAGAGTCATGAATGAGTACCGATGAAGAACCCAAGCGACAAGAACGAAACCACTGTGTCCCCAATAGTCCCTACTGGTTTTCAATAGTTCTCTAACTTAAGTCATTTCGTGATCAATCATGAAAAAGGAAAAACACATTCGGAAATATAAAAGGAAATATTAATGTACATATATTTGTTTTATCGAAATGTGTCTATCTGTATGTATGTATGTATTTATACCTGTATGCGTAAAGACACGTGTAGATAAAAGTAAAATGCCTAGAATAAAAACAATTAAAAATTCTGTAACAATCACTTTTTTCTCTGTATCACTCTCTCCCCAATGGGATATCGGCTTTATATTTATCACAATCACTATGTTGAAAGCTATTCATGCAATTTGAAGTCAAAAAAAAATTTTTTTTAAATTAAAATAATCAATATATGAAGAAAGAAAAAAAGATCCACTATAACGGTAACAAAGAAAAGACAATCAAGAGAAAGCAAGAGAATAACACTATTACAGGACAATAGGTATTGTGTAAAGCATACAACTCTACAATCTGCTCTTCCTTCCCGATCCTCAACCCCAACCGCCATTATCCATCTATTTCAATTATCCTTCGGGAAGCTGAATGTTACACAGTTCTGAGGGAGGATTCAGACAAAAAAAGAAGAGAGAATATAACAAACAGCACAAGCACACATGTTTGAATGTATTTACAATGAGGTATAAATTAATTGAGGTGTGTGTTCATGTTTATTAGTCTATTCACACAAGGACAGAAACGTCGAAATCACGACCATATCGACATGACGTCAATAAAATATTAAGAGTGCTAGAGTGAAAATAAAAGCAGTAATAATAATATTATTAATAATACCAATAAAGATCGGAAAAATCAAAAAAATAGCACAAAGTAAATGCAATTTGATATATGTGTATGATTTTTAAGTAGAAAAAGACCACAAAAATATGAATATTATATAATATGATGTAAATAGAAAGAAAGATCCAATTTAAAAACAAAAGTGAAATTTACAGAAGTAAGTAACGTAGTAAAAGCAACGAACTCCTCTCCCCACCCACCCCACACACACACACACACACACACACCTACTTTAATTTCCTGTATTCATGATAGCATTATTATTCGTCTCATTGGTGACCATTTGACGACCATCCGATGTCTTATTATGGCTAAGATGGTGTATTCCATGCGGATTACCTCTTGACTGTTCAGCATCCCTATTATCATCCTCTTCTTCATCGTCTTCCTCATCTTCGTGTTCTTCATCATCACCTTCTTCTTCCTCACCCTCTTCCTCTTCTTCATCCTCTTCCTCATCTTCCTCCTCTTCTTCATCGTCTTCAACTCCACTACTCACCACCCCTGTAACAGATTCCTCTCTTGACATGATAATTTGACTTGTTTCACCTACTACTAACGCTTGTTGACTTATCATCTGATGATCATGTGTACTTGGCGGGAGTAGTTCTGTGGTGTTTTGTTCGTCAATTCGAGCACGTTTTGTCGCTACATATAAGCCAGCCTTGTATTTTTGCATATCCTTGCCATACGTTGAAAAAGAAATGCAAAGATATGAAGAAAGTGATTTGCTTACCAGTAGAATAAATATAACTTGTAAAAATAAAAAATTGTTAAACATCACGAAGTATATAAACACAATGGCATATAGTTAAACATTAGACACCCAAGAAGTGTGGATGAACACTTACGAGCTTGGAATGGGTGATTGTGCTTAAAAGCAATCTTGGGGTCCCTAACTATCCATAATCAACACTAATAACTCCCTGATTAGGTTAATCTAACCCTAACTCAAACCTAACCTTAGTCTTTCCCTAAGCTACCTTAAAACTAACCAGTTATCCCAACACTAGCAATAGGGAATTTGAATCATCCTTAATACTTGCATACAAGGAAGGAACCTCGGAAACCACCTTACGAAGAATTCTTAACAATGCAGGAAGAACAGTGGTTGGCATTCAAACCCACAAACTCGATTAGAAACAAGCTTTGTTGGTTAAAGGATGCTGCAATGATTGCCAGTTCACATACATAGGAGGCAGAGTAGTAACAGGACAGGGTCAGTCAGACTAGCGGAGAACAAAAACCTAGCAAAATCTAGATTAGTTGACCCGAATAAGATAATAAATCTGGAGAATAGTTCAGCTACAGTACCACATGCAATTACACACAACCATGCAATAGGATGGGATAAGATGACAGTTTTAAAATCTAATGTATCAAGGTGGATGGAGGGACTGATAACTGCAGCTTTATTCATTGAGTCAAATGGGAATACGTGTAACAGGAATAATTCAACACCTGTTTCAGACATCTGGAAAATTCCATTAGCCCTACGATGAATAGGAAAGAATAAAGAAAACTACAAAAAAGAGAAGTTTCGAAGTTGTGAGGTCATGAACAACAGATTGTGTTTGAAATGTCATCCAGTAAATAATATTGTTTCACTGTGTGATATATCTAATCAACAAACTAATATGGAACCGGTTATCGCGTTTAATATCCCTACACTTCATTCAACACTTTCATGAATACTTTTTTATTCCTTCACGTCCCCAGTGGGACATAGGGTTTCAAGCTAAAGGCTTGAAGTTTCTGTAGCACTGATGAATTTTACGGGATGGGTTTGCTAGCCTCACGTCCAACCTTCCCTCTTTACCAGTCTTATTGCCGGTTTAGCGAGGTAAAGGATTGCATCGGTCGGGAATCGAACCCCAGACCACCTGCGTGGTCGGTGAACAGTCTACCGCTGTGCCACCGACGCACATTTCATGAATATAGTGTTACTTATCTAGTTTAATACTATCTTGCGTTCTAATGTCACTGGTGAGTTCACCACTGTTGGGTATCTAATCTTGAACTTGGTCAAAACACTTTATTACTACTCTTAACCTACATTGGCAAGAGTATTTATTGTTATTTATTTTATTCCTCTGCCTTCTGAATAAAACAAATGGCTTAGAGCCTGAGCTCTGAAATTCCAGAAGGATGAGGTCGCTGACCTTACGTCCAACATTCCCTCTTTACCGATCTTACTACCGGCTAAGCAAGGTTTAGGAGTGCGTCGGGCAAGAATCAGATCCTGGACCACAGAACCACCAACTCACATAACCAAGAGTAATGTTAGTTATTATCCTTCCTATTCTTAAATCGTTTTATCATTTTGTTCATTTTTGATTGGCTTTTCATTTTCCATGCATAAATTAATTTGAAATTTTTAATTAGACCGTTCAAAATGTACTGCTTAATCACACTACACATTTCACAGATAAACACCATCTTCTAACTACCCTATCTAAATTTATTGAACAGTGTATAGATACTATCAACACATGACTTAGAACAAAATCCCTACAAAACCAAAATTTGAAAATTAATCTGAAGCTCACTAGCAGCTGGCTTTATTCAGCTGGGTAGTTACCTGGGGTTCTGGTGGGAAGCCGCGACCAGGAGGGTACAGTAGGTTGAAGGTGAGCACAGTCACTCATTAGAAAAGACACCGTGAACTGGTTGCGCTATTTCATGAGTCGGCAGAGGATAGAATTCATGGGCTTGTTGGCTACTGGATTGGGTCCCAATGGCTTTGTTGTCTACGAGCTAGCTCACCTTGTAACCAGAAGGTCCTGGGTTCGAACCCTGACGGTGGGTGCGTACTGCTGGAGAGTCTCAAACTAGGATGGAGGAAACAGCTACCTGGCAGTACTCCCAGTTGGTTTTCCACTAGTTTTCTAACTGATGTCAGCTCATGATGAAATCCTCCAACCTATTCTTCAACAATTCAAATCGTCAAAACCTTTAATTTTCTAAGCAAAAGATGATAAGACACTAAGGCAAAATGTGAAAATAAAAATACCAATACTCATAAAACTCTGTGAGATAAAAGGAAAAAGTTGAGTGTTACAACACAATATACCATTATTAGATAGTAACTATCTTTTGAAATTCGCTAAATTCCACAAAAGCGTCAAAAAAAGAGGTTCGACTAATCCGATTAGCTCTTTACCTGTCAAAGGTGATCACTAAAAAGCTGCATCACAAAACAAAGATTCAGAGTGGTACTCAACATAACTTACTATGCAGCTAAACTTATTTTCTTAAGGGAAACGGAATTTACACCGTCTTGTAAACCATCACAGCCCATTGTGTTTACCAATTTAAATGTACACAGAGGGAGGACTCATCAATCTGTGCAGACTTAACGGCATCTGTCACAAGGCACATTATAGAGAGACGAGTGCCTTTAAACTCATGTGTAAAACAGGTTTGGGTCATATACTTGAATTGGTTTAAGCCTTAACCACTAAAAAGGTGTAAACCTGTTTTATGTGTTCGAAAGTTATCTGTTATTACTTTGAACCTATTTTGGTAATCCAATTTTAAAACTAAGGTTTATTTTGCCTAATATCTGTTGTACCATTTACCATACAACGCGCAAATAAAACCTCATGATAGCTTTTATCTTTACCCAAATGAGCCTTCAGATATACATTAAAAATTTACCATCCTCTTCATATGTAGCTTATTTTTACCACATGTATATATGATAAACCCAAGTAACTACTAGAGATATAAATTAAGGGTTGCAAATTTATGAAATAATTCCAACTCAAAAACGAACAATAAGAGATAGTTCATAAATCCCACTAGTTTTCAAATTGATTTAACCTATACAATCTGCTAGAAATGGTTTAGGAAATACAAAATGAAGCAGGAAAGTGATGAATATACACTGAGTAATAACGCCATAATGATGTAAAGCTAATCAGTGCATCTAGCCCAGTCCATAAAATAATCTGTGCATTCTATATCTATAAATAAGTTGTCCTTTGGTTTCTATGACTCCGTTTGTCTTTACTACATTCGCGCTATACTACTAGTACGTTTCATAAGTAGCAACTGCCACACTATTACTACTTAATTCTAATCAGTATTTACGACTAAATTTAGCAGAATTCTTATAAGTAGTAAATATATGTACATATATATAGGCTTACTTGTTCATAACGTAATTTATCATTTTGAGCACGTCGTTCATATTTCTCTTTGTCAGTACACTCTTCCCATCGTCTACCCAACTCTTTGGCAATATCACTAACTTTCCAATCTGGATGTTCACTACGAATTTTCGATCGAAATGCATCACAAAAGAAGAAGAACGCGGACCATGAACGTTTAGGCATACCAGGATCTTTGATCCGCCTTCGCCTACGACCACGTCGCATTCCAGTCGGTGGGACATAATGAGCCATTTCACGATTGAAGCGTTCTGTATCCAATTTTGCCATCTCTTCGAAACATTTTCTTTGTTCTACAGTCATGAGCTAGACAATGAAAAAAGGAGGAAGAGGAGAAGAAGGAGGAGTGAGCACAGAATGATATCATTTTTTTTCTACATACCTTCCATTTCTCAGCGCATTTTTTAGAAAATTCACTGAAAATAACATTTTCAGTTGGATGCTTTTTTCTATGCTCTTCACGTATAACTTGTACAAAGCATGCATATGGTGTCATTGGCGGTTTCGGACGATTCTTATCCTTCACCATCATTGCTTCCAATGCAATGTACTGAATGAATGGCTACGAAAATGTCCTGAAAAAGACAGACAGGTAACAGTGGAATTACATGAAAAGCATTATTATAGTTTGTAATCAATTCTGTTTTAGTAATTTTAATGTAAATTAAAAAGATATAAGTCAGTAAAACAATATTCCTCCAGTAAGTTCATCCAAAGCCACATCGTTATACATTATTTTAAAAGACCAACAACTAATATCAGTTGGCAACTAAACATACAAAAATTAAGTAATGTTGTATAGTATGGAGGATTTCACCAGGAGCTGACATTAGTTAGAGAACCACTGGAAAACCAACTGGGAGTACTGGACAGCTGTTTCGTCCTGTTTTGGGAATCTTCATTAGTACGCACCCACCGGGGTTCGAACCCAGGACCTTCTGGTTACAAGGCGAACTAGCTCGTAGACCACTGAGCCAGTGGGACCCGATTCAATGGTTCTTGAATTCTAACTTCTGCCAATTGACGACATAGCGCGACTATTTCGCAATGTCTTCTTCGATGAGTTATCGCCCCATCTTCGACCTGATGTACCCTACTGGTCACGGCTTCCCACTAGAACCCCAGGTTAACGAGCGCTCATAGAGTAAGACGTGCAGAATACGTATAAAAGTATATTTTAAGGATAAGGGATTGAAAGTAAAGATTAAAAGTGAATGAATACGGACTACATGCCAAATTATTGTACAAGTTTTTTTTTAATGTAGACAAATTAAGGGTTGAATAATGCTATACAATACTGACTAATATTAGTAGCCGGATACCAATCACATAAACCAGAGGTACTCGCTGACCAGATCGAAGTGATCTAACCATCGGACAGCTGTCTCGCTCGACTGGGGTCTTTCTTGATTATCATTTAAGGTATCAAGAAAACCACATATTTTAATCTGAATAATCTTCGATTCTCAAGGAAACTAAGGTGAAGTCTCACTTCGGATGCCCGGCGCTCTCCACCGGGTTGACTGTCCATTGGATGACAGTCTAGGGGAGATGGCTAAACCCTGATTCCAAACCTCCAACGACTGGCGTATGAAGCTCACCGGCAGACGTATGGACAAAGGGCTTGTTGGATGTCCTGGATGTCTGGCCCCATTCAAAAAGGCGTATGAACCGAACTCCGGTCACCGGCTCCCAATGGATAGTGGACTCCTTACTCCACTCCTACTGCCTTGTAGGTCACACTTGGCTGTGTAAAGGCTAGAGCTGCACTCTCAAACAAAAGGCCGAGCGATGCTGGGGACATCACTCGTACCAAATTCCCATGAAACTTCATGAACTCTCTTACAAATTGTCGCGCCTGGGCAGCAATGATTCGAGACGTTCATGAAGCCGGCTCATCCTCCCGTAGGAGATAGCCGAAGTAAATCAATCATCATCTCACTTCGAATTGTGTTGTGAATTCGATGCAAGGGTCGAATAACTTGTAAAATAAAATCATCCACTGAATGCTTCACAGTCATTTTGTTTTGAGATAATCAGTGACAAATAAAACATTTTTAAATAACACATACTTCGTCCTTAGACGGTAACATCAATTCAAATGAATCTCAGCAGTCGGGTTTAAACGTCAGTAATAATTCAGAATCTAGACGTGATTTACAACAATGCTAGGCGAAAACTAATTGCACTCTGCTTATTTTTGTCCGATTTTATACCCTTAGTTTTTTCGATTATGGTCATTCAAAATATAAGTTTGCTAGACTAAGCTACCAACTGCCATTCGGATAAAGCGATAGCTAACACAATTTTGAAGGGGTGTGATATATTATCGAGTATTAGTAGGGTAAAGTAGTATGTATCTTAACATAGATTTCGTGTACTACGCGAACAATATGAAGAAAAGAGAAATAGTGACTGACTATGACAGTTTAAATAATATAATATCTTAATTAAATGGGAACAATCATCTAGTAAGCTGTTAATGGCAGAATAATACAGAAATCTCCACAGAAGTTAATCAGACCAAGTTGCGAAACTTCCGAAAAGCATACACAATAATGGGGCGGGTATACTGCTCATCAGTCCGCTCCTTCCTCCTTTATGGCTGCGAGACCTGGCCACTGAGAGTGGAAAACATGAAAAGACTAGCTGTCTTTGATCATAGGTGCCTGCGCTTTATTTCCGGTGTAAAGTAGCATAATAAGGTGAGAAACACTGAGGTTAAGCGTCGAGTGCTAGGTAAACAGGGGAAATCAATAGACGAAGTCGTGAAGTTACAAAGACTGAGATGGTTAGGACATGTGTTACGTATGCCAAGTCATCGCCTCCCTCGATGAGCAGTGTTAGAGAATATAGGGTCAGGCTGGAAAAAAGCTAGCGGCGGTCAAACAAAAACTTGGCACCAGTCAATGAAATCCACAACAGTTGGTCCAAGCCACGTAGGGAGGTGTAGACCTCCAGGCTGGGGTCCTCGGGACGGTAAAAATCTATGGTTGGAAACAATTGGTGACATGACTCAAAATCGTTCTCAGTGGCGCAGATGCATCCACTCCTTGTGACTTATGATCTCCAATGAAACTGTTTTGTTCTTCGTTATTACTCTTTTGTCTCACACCTCTGCTCACTGTCTCTATTATGCTTTTCTTGTACTTTCTTCTCTTGCTTCGCGTGCTACACGGAGTGTGGGGACTTGAACTGTCGCACATTTGTGCAAAGTTCTATGTCGAAAACAGACAGACAGATAGACACAATAATGAGACAAAATCATATAAACATAGATTTGACAAAGAATACCTGTATGAAGATTAGTGAGACCTCTCACGGTCTGCAAAATGATAAGTAGTGAATGCATCTGCACCGCTGTGAAAGATTTTTGGATATGCCACTAAAAGTATCCAACCACTGATCCTTAATATCCCGGAGACCTCAGCCAGACGGTTTACACCAGCCTATGTAGCTCAGACCCATGACCGCCCCTAACACTTATCCAACCTAATTCTAATTCATCTGGAACTGCTTTCTGAAAAAAGCGATGGCATCACCTACTGATTACATTTATTTCGAAACAATCACATCAGTTCCTTGACTACAGTATTGCCATCAGCTTTGAAAGACCGAATTGCCTGGATTCAGCGCCCTATGATGATTCAGTACTTGCAGTCCCTTCCTTCACGTTCCCAGTGGAACATAGGGCCTCAAGCTAGTGGCTTGAAGTTTCTGTAGTAGTGTTTAATTTTACAGGATGGGGTTGCTAGCCTCATCCCCAACTTTCCCTCTTTACCAGCATTATTTCTAGCTTAGCGAGGCAAAGCAGTACGTCGGCTGGGGATCGAACCCCGGGCCATGTGCATGGTCGGCGAGCGTCCTAACGGCTGTGCCACCGACGCACACACTTTGTCAGGTGGGCTGAATTAGAATGAACACGACGTATTGTGCTATACAGAACAGAACAACAGTGCAGTAAGTTAGATAAACTGTCTCCAGAGTGTTTTTTCAGAATTCCAGAAGTCTTTTAAGATTGCTGCCTAGAAAATTCCTAACTGACACCAGACTACTGATCTCTCTTGGTTGAACTGAAACAGCTTCCGGCTGTTGCCGAATGTTAATGCTGCTGCTTCCATCTCACACGCTTGTTCTGACCACTAAGGTCCGTAGTCTAAAAAATGCGGAATTTGATTCCATACCTAAGAGCTTCGTACAGCTTACTACACCGATCATCTGTTGGAATGGGTAGGTGGATGTTGAGAAGTTGCAAGGAGCTCGCAGAAAATCGATGTTTGCTGGCAGGACTTTCTTCTAAACCTCAAGTGGCTTTACTTACCGTTTCTATGACGTTTTGCAGGTGAAACCAACCTCCGTCAACAGACAACTTCTAATCTAACTCAATTTGATATTTAGAGGTCGTAAAAGGTGAAACAAATTCGCTCAAGTCAACTCACTTATGAGCACATTCATGAAGACTACCAAACGAAGAACAACCCTAAAGCATCAAAGCATGATCAAACACTCCAGAAGGCACAAGTTGTATATGCATAAACGCCAACAGCAGCTAACGGCCATGTGATCTACATGAATCCAGGTTTGAGTAGCAAAGGCAAAACGGCGTCAAAAGTTAGTGAAGGGTTGGAATAGACCATGATCTGTGCAGAGATGTACAAGACAGGCACTCACTATATGAGCTGCAATCCACTTGACCTCCATATCCACCTAAAAGACTCCTCAGAGCCCATTAGCCCAGACTATACATGCAAATTGTCAGCTAGCAATGCGATATCTGTTAAGCGTGCTCGCTCGAGATAACTCAGTTGGTAGTGGAATTCATCCTCGTCATATCCGGATTGTTATGTCAGTGCGTAGATAGACTGACCAAAGTTTAAAGTATAACTGCATAAAAGTCAGTTCAAGTTGAAGCACTTCAAAGAATCACACAAAACTCGTAAAAACAAATATGTCTGTCTGTTATAGACATAGAACCTCAGCAAAAACAAAAGAAGCCAAATGCAAAGAAACTATCATAAACACAAAGGTACGGGGGAATGTTTACACGGAGTATAATAAGAATTCAGTGAATTTAATAGTTCAGGAGTGTATCTGATACACTAAGGACGAATTCGAGCCATGTCACGAACAGTCCCTAGTCATTAACTCTTAACATCCTAATAACAATCAGAGGGCTAGCACCTCCCCCTGTGGCTCAAACTAATAAATAAAGACCAATACTTGGAAGACTCCATGTGTTAATCTTATGTTTTACTTTGACTACCCTTAATTCTTTTTCAGCCTAATCCTATTTCAACTAACAGTACTCCCTGAGGAAGATGACGGCTCAGCACGTATAACACGTTCTAGCTGCCCCAATCAACACAGCTTTATAGCCTCATTAATCAATTTCTCTTTAAGCCTAACCTCATTAATACTTACCATATTGCTGCATTCAAAAGGACAGAGTAAGGAAAGACATTTGCGGTTGAAATCCTCTGCTTTTTCACATATTTTTTTCTAATAAAGGAAATGTATTACAGTCGTGAATTTGGACAGATTGCGCTCTTGCAAAGCATGTACGTCCTTCAAGAAGTAGCTGGCTATCATGCGTAGGCTAAAGATGACTTACGTTGACTAGTGCCAAAACAGCTTTCTGTATCCATGCTGAGATTCCATCAATATTCATTCGACTAGGGTAGATGCAACTTTCCAAATACATGAAGTGATCAACACATCCAACTATTTCACTGCAAATCAATGCAGACCAGCCCTTCACATCATCTCGCATTTGAACAGGTTAAAGACCAAGTCAAAAATATTGATGTGTGATCGGAGTGTTTAGAAGACTATATCTTCAGCATTCTACTCCGATTTTCGACGGAAGTAATAAGTGTCTTCTTATCAGTAAGCTTACTGTCAACACACACAAATACTGTTATAAATGTTCTCCATAGAAGCATCGACTAAGAAAATGGTGAATGCAGTTAATAAGCTGAAGAGTACTCAACACCTTATAGCCATGACACATGGCGCCAATTGTGGGGGTTAACATGAAAGACCAAATTTGATCGAACAGTACTGTCGAAGATTATAAGGTTGATTTCTACTAGGCACAGATCAGCTAAAGATGATGGAGACATTTAAATTAGGAATATCCGTTAGTTACACAATGCATATATCTATCTGCACAGACCCCCAACACGACAATCAAAGTGGAAAATACGTTAACCCATCTGTAAAGATGCCAATGTATGCACGAAGCCCGAAGTAATCATGAATTAAATCCTGTTGGGGACCTAAAATTAGTCTGGGACAATGACTTATTGCTTCTACAAAATAGTTAGGCGTAAGACTCACTAATCAAATAACTATCTACATTACTTTCGTCTTGGCTACATTTTCGGACAATCTTTCGTCTAACGGACAATTAGAACTCATAATCGATGCCACCAAGAAATCCTTGGTAGCTACCTCCACAAATTGAAACGTGTTCAAATGAGACTAAAGAAGGCTAGTGTGACAAGTTCCCAAAACACTTAAAATTAATTTTCACATCTTACGGTGTTTCTTTGGAGTTGACTATTGAGTTAGTTTAATTATAGTATGACCAACGTAAACTGAGAGCAGTGTATTCACAACTGACCATTGTTAATTTCTTTTACAGATTAGTCCCACAGAGCCTATTTAGGCGAGCAACCATAATACTTAATTAGCTCTCTGATTTTTTTAAACAGATTGCATTAGTTCTTATTCAGTTGCACAGTTTAATTAAACTGTGCTAATTAATTAGCATGTGAAACTTAGGAAGTTGGCCAAATTTCGAATGAATGATTGAGTATTTATTACGTAGTGTGCGCAAAAAGAAATCTGAAGGAATACGAGTACCTAATGTTGCAGTAATAATGCATAAAGAGCGGAAATCATATGGTTGTAAAATCCTTAAAGTGCAGAAACAGTATAGCTAGTGAGGAGAGACCACACAGGCTACGCAGAAGTGATAATTTAACTTCATTTCGAAAAAGGAGTTATTTCCGCTTTCCACTGCATTATTTACGAAGTCCATTAAGCACCGCTCTTCAAACTTGCCACTAACGGTAAAAATGAAGCAAATTTCTTTTCACTTCAAGAATCGCAGATTTAATACCGTTTCTCAGCTAATTCGAAGACTTTAGCAAGATCACTTGAAAGCTGCAGATTTACGAAAATGACACGCGAAACCCTAGAAAAGACAACTCACTAGCCGATGACCTTGAGAATCAAATATCACCAGAATAAGTTGTACGATGCATACTTTTCATTTTGGACTCCCATTAAGACTTTTTATTGGAGTTAGAAGGTCTAGGTTTCGTATAAAACCTTTTCTATTAAGTATATTCATCCGATTATTCCCTCTCAAACGAGTCTACTGAGGACACAGAAACCTCTGTTCGCGAAAAACTTAATTCAGATTTACTGGTTGAGGATAAGAGGCTTGGGGCCTATGCTAATCCTTTTCTAGTAAATTTCTGTGGTTGTCCGGACCCTTCTTGAACGAATCAGTTGAGGTTGCAGACACCACTTCTTCTGGGAGTCGGTCCCATGAGTTTATGACTCTGTGTGAGAACCAATGCTCAACAGCAATATGATTTCTTCTTGTCCTTTGAACTCTCCTGCTATGTCCTCTAAGGTGTTCCGACCTGGTGGGAAGGAAAAGTGAGAATATGTCAGGTCGGTAGTCATTTAAAATTTTAAACATTGTGATTAAATCTCCCCTCTGCCTACGGTATGACAGCGAGAAGAGGTTTAAACTGTCTAGTCTTTTCTCGTATGATAAGTTAGCTATGCCGTAAACCATATGTACTGCCTTCCTCTGAACACTTCCTAGAATGTGTGAGTCCCCTTTTAGACAGGGACTGGCGGCCTGGATGCAGTTTTCCAATCCTGACCTCACCAGAGATGTATTCAAGGAGATGAACATATCTCTGGTAATTCTTGTAAAGGCTCTGCGAATCGCCCATAAGGACCTGAAACTGTGTGCAGCCACCGCGCGACAGTGTGCTGTAGTTTTTAAGTCGTGGCTAACTATGACACCTAAGTCCAAGTGAGGTCCTCTTGCAACGCGAACGTATCACTGTTGCCCTTCAGCTTTCTCCAAATTTTAAAGTCATCTGCGTATATGACCATAGGGGAGTCGGTGAGCAGAGATAACTCATTGACATACAAAATAAATAGGAGAGGTCCGAGTACCGTGCCTTGTGGCACTCCGCTACGTACTGCAGTCCAAGATGAGAGTTTCGAGTTGATCCGAACCCTCTGCCTCCTATCTATGGGAAATTCCCTGATCCAGTTTAGTAATCTGCCTTTGACACCAAGACTTTCCAACTTCATGAGTAGTCTTTCGTGGGGTACTTTATCAAAGGCTTTGCTGAAGTCTATGAAGACGACGTCAACGGGCCTTCTGTTGTCCTTTGATTTGACCCAGCTTTCTCTTGCAGTGAGGAGACTTAATAGGCATGAGAGCTTCCTCCGAAAGCCATGCTGTGCTCTAGATAACAAGCTGTTGTTTTCCAGACATGCCACGATGCTTTTCTTGATGATTCTTTCCAGTGTCTTGATTAAAGTACTGGTGAGACTGATAGGCCTGTAATTTGAAGGGCTTTCTCTTGATCCTCCTTTGTGGATGAGGGTTACTATGGCGTCTTTCCAGTCACGCGGTAACACCTTATTTAGGAGAGATAGCTTGAGGACCGTGGTCAAAGTGCCGGCTATGTGAGCTGATAGCTCCGTGAGAAGCATTGGATGAAGATTATTAGGACCCACTGATTTCCCTGCATCTAGTTTCATTAAGCAGTTGAGTACGATGCCTTGGTCGACGTCAACGGAATCTATCCCGTATTCCTCTGATGCAGCCAGAGCTGATCCCATAGGGAGTGGTGACTCCTGAGTGAAGACTTGGGAGAAGTAGTCTTCTATTGCTTAATGATCACTCGCTTTCATAATCGGAATTCCACATGTATTTTATTCACCTGCTGTTTGATTATCCTTTTGTGACGACCTCACAAAGGTAAGCTAGAGAAAAATAATAGGTCAGAAGGAATAGTCCTCAAACCACCCTCCCAAATACTATAAACCAAATTTAAGTCTCCTCTCCTCTTGCGGTATGATAATGGGAAAAGTGTTAAATGTTATTTCCTCTTCTCATTAGGTAGGTGTGAGGTACCACTGACTAATTTGGTTCATACTCAATGTACTCATTCAGGTATATGCGCTCCTTGAAACACTCACTGACCTTTCGCAAACAGTATTCTAGGTGGTACTTGACATATGCTGAAATGAGTAATGTAAACACAGACTCATCTAATTGTGTGAGAGCCCCTAAAAGTATCCATAAAATTCGATAAGCCTTACCTACAGCTGCACTGTAACATGCAGCCGTCTCAAAAACATAGCTGGGAATAGTTCCTAGTCCTCTTGTCCTATAACATCGCTCAGTTCCGCCTCCCCAGGGAGTACGAAGTGTAAGACCACGGACCTAAGCGTACTGCTACGTTTTCCCTGAAATTCACTTCCAAACTCCACGGGTTAGGCTATCCAGTAAACTTATCGAGATCACCTTGTAGAACTGACATATAATAACGTTTATTTACTGTTTTGTATATCTAGGTACCGTCCGCAAATAATTGTGAAGATGAGTTAAGAAAGTTCGGTAGTTCGTCTAAGAATAACACTGTAACCAACACAGTTCCGCCCTCCACTTAATACTGTTGTGTACCCTGACACTACATTATTAACCCTTACCTTTTTCCTTTTACACAGTAGGTAGCCCTGAAGACACTCAGACACTGGTGTAGTCCAGAAAATTTTAAATTACTACGACACTTTATCGAATACCCTAATAAGTTCCATAAAAATGACTCCCAGTGGCAGGTTTTTATTCCCGGATTCTGACCAGTCTACCTTTACTAACAGCAAGTTTGTAAGGTAGGATCTTCCTGGTCAGAATCCATATTGTTCCTCTGCCAATAAGTCATGCTCCACCATATGAGCTGAAAGCTGATCCCTTATGACTGTTTCTAATGACTTTACTAGACTGCATGTGAGACTTACAGATCAGTGGTTAGACACCAATAGCCTGCTCCCTTCTTTGAGAATGTGGATTATAACTGCATCCGTCCAGTCCCTATGTAGCCTATTCCGAATTAAAAACTTTTTAAAACCTATGAAAGTGAAATGCATGTTATATCTTTCAAGAAGACTAACAGTCTAGGATGGAGCCCATCAGGCCCTAGTGATTGGCCTGGCTTCGCCTTAGACAGTAGTTCAAGTGCCAATGCGTCGTTGACTACAACTAGAGGTATTTTAGTGGCAGTGGCAGTGACCTGTTTAAAGCCACTAAATCCTACTATAGCACGGGGAAATATCAACTGATTCGGCACCTCCCCGTTATGAGTTATCAGTGACGGTAACCATTGCTAGTTTTAGTCCTACGTATATTATAAAAATGTAGTCTTTTTGGGCAATCCAGACGGTGCAACACTAACTGTGCCTCATACTCTATAAGACTTTTAATAGCCACATAGCTACTAGGGCTCTGAATTTCACTGCAGGCGGTCTGAAACTCCTCCCCTCTCCCCTGTTACAGTTAAATCATCCACTAAGCTTCTTCGCTTTCCGAATAGTCTTATTTAAGTGATGGCTTTCGAGGGATACACCAAAATGCAGAAAGATGAATTGGAACATTTTAATGTTTTCCTAAGTCTCACCAAGCTTTCTCGATAGTCCTAATCATATTAATCCACCAGTCAACCAGATTTGTGCCACTCAACATTGCTGATACACCTGCTTGCATAAAGTTTATGTGAATAGATGTTGACTCATGTATGTGGCCACGAATCTTCAATATAAAAGTAATAAGTACATGGTTACTACTGTCTAGAGGCGGGAGGCACCTAATGTCCTTTACATCCTCCTTCTGGGGTGTTGGTGCCAAGTCCAGAGTATATGGACAGTGCTCATGGTCGTATCACGTTGTTGCATGTGAGCCTTACACATCTGATGTTTGGGTTTTTTGTTAATGCGAAGACAATATTTCTATATCTCTTTACGTGTTACACAAACAGACTTTACAGCAGACTGTTCCTACTGACTGTAATGTCAGAAAGAACAACCAAACTGTAAATTCATCATACATCAAATTATGCGTAATTTATATAATAACTTATCCATGCCTGTACAACTGGTATGTTCCTGCATAAACAGGAAGAAATATATTATTATTACAACTGCACGTTCCAAGACAGTCAGTGTAAGTCCCTTGTTAAAACAGGTATGCAAGCCGGTGGGTGTTAATTCCCACCAATCAATATGCAGGGCGTTAAATTCACCTACCATTAGACAGGTATTTCTACTACAACACGCCCTCAGGTGATTTCGTACGAAGTCGTCAGATTGGACGGCAGGACCCCGATCTTTACATTACCCTTATTCAGTTTTGTAACATGACTTACGGCTTCACTAACACAGCCATTGTCAAAGGAGTTGAAGATTAAACGATCAATTCTTGGTTGTTTGCTCAAAATCAACTTCCCCGATTTTCGCGGAGGCATCAATATGACAGTCATCGTCTCATCGGTCGCTGTTCAGAAAGAAGAGTAAAATATCGTCAGAAGTAATATAACGATTTATTATTGTAATATTTGTTTACAGACCTTAGTTCGCTTATTCCTTTTATATGTTGGTGTAACAATAAACAAATCTCAAGCTGCAGATCAGTGTTTTGGTTTTTGCGTCCGTTATAACTAAGCGTTTCTGAATCTTCGAAGAACAGCGTGGGCCCGAGCGTAGCGAGAGCTGGGCATTAACGGTTTATGAGACGTGATTGACAGCCATCATTGCAAATGCACTCTGGTACTAGCGGAGTGAGGTCCACACCCATTAACGAATACGTTTCATTAATTGCGGTAACATCATGTTGTAGTACTCTAGATAATGCTTCTAGTTGTGAAATCTTGCTCCTGTGACTATATGCGTTCGTATAAATCTATATGCTCATCCAACTTCTTAATAGACGTCTCGACAACGTAGGTTTCCAAGACCTCACCACCCAAAAACCCGTTATTTTAAGATTCTTTCCTCTTTCTCTTATCGAGGCTTCTAATGCTCTACGGCTTCTCTCCTTTGAATCCTATCTTCCAGAGTTCAACCAGGCCTTGTTCCCAAACTTCTATTCTTGCTATTATTAGAAAGAAAGCTGCAGTGAAGAAAATGCACTTT